TTTTATTACATCCATTTTATTAACATTAACCCCCTTGCACAGTCCATGCTAGCAAAGTACTTTGTTTCACATAATTATAAAGAAAATCTTAAAACAGCGTATAGCTAAGATCCAAAACATTGCATCAAAATTTGATTTCATGTGTGTGTGATTATAGCAGAGATGTTTTTATGCGACACATAATAGTTCTATAAATGTCCTTTTTGCCTTAATTGTCATTATGCATATAGACAATATTTGATTATGTATGTGCTAAAAACACAAGTCTAAATGCTTTATATACTTATTATAAATACAAAATTGGTGACATGAATCAAAATACATGTTAATTCATTGGACAAACATAAATTCCTTCAAATCGTGAAAAGCAGAATACGCGCGATAAACATGCACCATGTATTTCAATAAATAATAAATCACAAACATATCAAATATATATTATTTGATATAAAACATCTACTTCCAGACGTCTTCTGCGTTCTATCATCTAGCTTTGGCACGACTATTGGGGTCAAAAGCGAACTTTGCTCGCGGCACGTTTACGACATTCATGTGCAGTAAAAAATATGAGATTTTAAAAGCGTAAAATGATACTTAAACATTTGATGAAGTGAACACTCACAGACTTTTAGAGTCTTATAAGTTTAAATCCTTATTTATTACTGTAATAATTTGGTAAATTATTCGTAGCTAAGAACATTTTGTGAAACCATAATTATGAACAAACATGTCCGTTACCCATACATTGTATGTAAAGGTACTTTGTACAAAAAATAGATCGTGTAGACAGAACTTTGATATTTTTTTTCATCTGACTGTATGTTGTTATCTAAATATATGCTCTACATAACAACTTATTAAAGCACTAATGACAACGAGACATATTAAGATGTTATCTGTTTCATTGTTCTTCTACAGTATTTATTTACATTTGCCATGGTAGGCAATAACATTTAAAAAAAAGAGTGATTTTGTTATAACTATTAAATTTTGATTAGGTGATTGACTTTCACGAATACTTACACAGAAATAATACAGCTTAAATTCATAACGTTACAGGTATAGATTTTAGCATCGAAACAATAAATCATAATGTGAAAACATGTAAATACTTAACATACTTCTCCATGTACTCTTGATTTCATGATTTATCGACAATACATTAATGGCAAGTTTGCTAACGTATTGTTTATTATCTGTTCGCACACAAAAACGGACAAGACTATACTTAAACTATTCTTCTAAAAGCGACGCAACACATATAATGTGTAAGTTCAATAATTGTGTCTGCAGCAGTGAACAATAATATTTTTTTCATCAATTTTAAGTATTTATATTAAACAAGATTATCTGACAGGACAAAACAAATCATATTTCGAAATGTTTACTGAAGAAGTGACGGTAGCTATCACAATTAATTTCTTGTATGAACGTATGTCAGTTATTGGGAGTGGCTTAAATATATTGATATCTCTTTAGGAGCAATTTTTTATCAGGATATGACTTGTGGGTAATAAACTAGAAGGAATCGGAAAACAGATCGAAAATCTCAAAAAGTTATGTACATAGTACAGAAACAGCAGACTCATTGCTTTATTGCCAGATTCTCAGGACTGGAAATTGTGTAGCATACAAAATACCTTACAATCTCTATATCTCTATTATAGCGAGATAACATAGAGATTAACTAAATGTATTCCCCTTCATTCAGTTTGAAAACTTTTCAAAGTAAATCTCTTCCAGTTGATAGGGGGAATAAATAGATGTAAAGGTTACAACTATTCGAAAGGAAAGATCAGTTGTGTGAATAAAAAGAAAGGAATTATAAATAGACGGATTAGAATTGTTAAGGATTAATAGAAATTTGAATTTTAATACCACTGGCGGATACTTAAGTTGGGGATACAACAAAGTAATCATGATTGGTAAAATTGACAATATTAAGAGGAAGGGAAGGAGAAATATAAACAACTTAAATAAATAGTTTTACTATGTATACAATGAACATGACAACTACGGTGGTCCCTGTACAGTCTGGTTTGACGAGTGCTATGTATGGACTCTACACTGTGATAACTCCAGCTATATTTGTTTTTGTTATCATCATGTTACTGTTTTACGTGGTTATGTATACAATACATTAAAATAACGTTATACAAACATTGTGACAAATATACGATTTTGTTTACATTTCTAAACGTTTTATTATTATACATGACTGGATTTACAATAAGTTTTGAAGTAACTTACATGCAAATATATTATTGTTCGTGCTATCATAGTGTCAGTTCATGAATATAACCTATATATTGTTATAATCACAGTGCAGTGTTGTTCCTTTGCAAACGTGTTATCATAAACAAAATCAAAGGTATAAAATTCGGAATAATCGAGCATACTTGTTTATTGTTTATAAAGTTTGAATTGTCATTGAATACAAGAAACATATTTTCATTTTAAAAACATGTAGATATGAGACATGATTTCTCAAATCATATTTATATAGTTTTTTCTTGTTTTTATAAGCAAATCAAATACAAAGAGCAGGTTTTGTGATGATGTATTTTTATATTTTGAGCCCTATAACTTAATAATTTATTATAGTTTTCCAATTTGTTAAAATAGAATTGGTATAACCCACAAGGGTAATACTTGTTTATAAAAACTCAACATTTTGCATGAATATAAACATTTCTTATTGAACATATTATACACCAATTATCCGTATCGATTATTGTTCTGACAAATCTGAAATGAAATAAATGTCTTCGTTTTACAATTTCTCTGACATTTGTGTTATATTTTACTAAATTATCACATATGTAATTATGTTTAATCGCAGATACTGACCACTGAAATGTTCTTAAAAAGATATAAAATAATTCGCTTTTAAATCTGATTTACAGATTGCATGCACAGCATATAATTTGATAAACAAAATATAAAAGTAATGGAAAATGAATTCACCCTATAATTCTTTGTTGTGATAATAGTATGAAGAAGAACATATAAAATTATAACCTTAATAAATCTTATTAATATTATTAAACTGCGCGGCAAAACTGAATTTATACTGAGATTGGATACCTCAGCCAAATCCTTATCAGACCTTAAATACAGGAAACTTAACACAAAGAAACTAACGGATTATAGATATAAAAATAGCAAAGTTGCTGAAAAGATAATACAAATTATATTTATTCATTACAGTTTTTTTTAATTGATTATTCGTATTATAAGTCATCTTTTTATTAAAATGTCGCATTTACAAATTATTAATCATGGCATATATTATCAAATTGTCATTCCAGCTGATTAAAATTATGGAATCATTTTGAGAGTTAACCTTCGCTTTTTTTATTTCAATTACTAAATTCTAAAATAATTCAAGAGAAAAAAGGTATAACTATATTGCAACCGTTGCTGTTAAGCGAAAGTAAATAATTGTGTAACGTTTGATATTTCCTTTCTTCCTCTATCATGTCCTTAAATTTCATAATTAAAAAGCAGTTAAACTAGACAAATACTGTATTTAATCTTTCATGGTGAAAATGCAATATGTTGAAATCAAGGATCAGAATATTTCTGCTTCTGAATCAATGGTTCAATGTTCAATCATATGAGTTTGTTATTTTGTGCATTAGTTAGGAATCTATATATTATGGTCGTTTAGGGAGTTATACAGACAATTATATGTTGAACTGTACTTAGTCATGAATGTGAACGATTGCAATATATCAATATCGTTTATTATGAGATAATCAAATTAGAAAATATATACACTGTTCCCTCCTTGAAAGTTGCTTATCACTTAATAAACAATGGAAATGTAGTCAATAGGTAGGAACGTAAAAAATAATAATAATATATATTGTAGTGGGAATATTTATGTAAAATTGTATACTACCAAATGAAAACAAGATGCCAACCTTGTGCGTTTAGGATATAGAATATCAGACGTATGCGTAATGAATTAGGTCTGTAGGAAATCAAAGAAAGCCGATTTCGTTAAAAGCGGGTGTAATTATTGGTTAGTAACTTGCACTTATTTTCTACAATTCAATTATTTACGCTCCAGAAACATCTGTTTCAGTGATTTATTTCAACTTTAACGTTCAGAATAAATGTGGACCAATTTGAAAAAGCTTTTTCTTACCCAATTGGTTACATACTATTAGACAAAAAAAATGAAAATGTACCAAAAAGGGAATGCGTTATCAAGTTTGTTTTAAACACGCAACAAACAACCTAGGAGGTAAGGTGTTTTTTTACTTCGTAGTCAGTTGCCAAAATGCTTCAAATTTAATCATTTAAATTCGAAAAAGGAACAATTACTTTAACCACATGGCATGTGTTTTGCTCTGAGACTAAACATGCCGGAAAAAGATAATTAGGTTTAGAGTAAAATAATTTATGTTTCTATCAGATACCCACCAGCTAATTTCAGATAATTTCAGATTAGAACTTTGATAAATATCAAGTAATTTAAAAGAGCATTTTAGTTTTGCCAAAGATTTCCTACAACCTATTTTGTTTAATATTTTAGACAAAAATCCAATTTATTCCATTATAGGTATACAGGTAAAATCAGTTTGCACAATTTGTTTATGTTTTGTATCGGCAAAGCTTCTAGTTTAAATATCTTTACTGTTTTGCTTTTGTTTCATACTTTAACTTTTCATAGCACGTTTTTTTATGACTGTGAATGAAACTTTCTCTAGAAAGACATTTCTAACTAACAACACAAGCGAGTTTCTGAAAACTATTCAGACAAGATTTGTATACAGGCAAATACTCTTATAATAGTTCATGATATGCCCAGAACAAACTGATAATCAAAAAAAGGAGAATTTAATGGTTTTTACTATCTGGCTTACAAAAACAGATTTATTCAAGAATAAGAAACTATCGGAAACCACTTCTTTATCATTACAATAATATCAAACTACCTATAGCTAAAATTATAACGTTACAAAGACTGCGTTGTAATACATGTTCTTTAATTCAGAGGATAAAGAGGAATACATAAGCCAAGACATAAGTACTAAATGATTACGAAAAACATACCATATGTTTATGTATATATGAATAGGTATTATTTTTAATATTATAATTCTAAATAGATAAAAAATGACGCTGATCTAATACGAAGTAAAAAAAAAAGACAGAAAGACAAACATTATTCAATCAATGGCTGCTTCAGTACGTTTTAGTATTTTATTATTTTCATTAAAATGTTCACATTGTTTGTACTCGTATTCTTTTAATATTGTTTGAACCTGAAAGTTTCTTCGCAAATAGATAGGATACGATCACTACAGGGCTTGTCATTCCAAACGAAATTTCTACTGGCATGCACGTGTACGCAATCTTCATTACCAAGATAGTTATCTGGTTGACCTTTCTCCCAGTCTGTGAAAACGGCGTTCGATTGGTCGGCAACCCATTTAAAGACGCCCTCTGTGACACTGTCTGTCAATCCAATCCAAAAGTCGGTACCTTTGAATAATATTAGAGGTAAAGAACATTTAATCCTTCAGATAAACAACAGATACATGAGTCACCAAAGATATTTTTTATTTCTTCGTGAAATAAAAGGCGTTCACTGCATTTTGTTTTGTGTTTTTACTGTTTTCTTTCCATAAACATTATCAATTTCTTATTTTCGTGAACCATTTAATAGTTTATACAAATTTTCTGATGCTGCTAAAAAGCACAAAACTAAGGGTTTTCCCGGTTGTAAGGGAAAAGTGTATTTTGACAAAAGATAGAATAACGACCTTTTTTCGCTAAGCATGTGCTATGTATAAATTATTTCACGTATATATTTTGTTTGTTCTGTTATACGCGCACCAACACAGTATGTATAGGTCATATAGCGCCATAACAGGGAAGATGTTTTTGGCTAACCTCAGGTTTTTAAACTTAAAGCAACAGCAGGGGTCAGAACCACCTCACCTGCAGAGACTCAAGTAACTCTATCCAATTTATTTCCCTCTTGTGATCACGCAGGGATAAACGGTGGCCGCAATTTTGATACCTCAACACTTTGAGGTATCCCAACAAGAGGAAAGTATATATTATATAAACTGACATAAGGGTAATCCATGAAGGGGAAAAATATATACTGACGTTGAAATCAAAGTTTTTCATCAGTGGTGCTTATAAAGAAAAATAAAAAAAGATAAACATGAAGAGAAAAATGGGCAAATGATTGTTTGCGTAATGTTTCAAGCGATGATGATTACCGTTTGCAGAACTTAAACAGGGATCGGATTAAATTTCTAGTTTCAATTTATCGCCATAGCTTTCGAATCTTGATGGTATTCATAGCAAACACCTTTTATTCGTGTAAAAGCACATATTCTTAAGTATTTGGATTGGAACCCTCTATAAATAGTTTTAGATACGACTTTTAAGTATCATAGCAAAAGGTAAGTTTTTTGTTGTTTTTTTTTTCTTCGTTTTTTTCTATTTTCCTATTTAAATTATTTGATCTTCTGTTTCACATACAAAATTAAAGATGTTTAACCCTTTATCTTTATTCCATGACAAATTCAACGTTAAAATCAAAAAGAAAGACTGAACAGTGTAGCAAATTAGATAATTATACATTGTACTTGAAAAATACTGACCTTTTAAAGTGGTTAGCTGTTTTTTAAGGAATGTGTTTTCGTTTGCGTTTTCTATACTGACTAAATCAGCACCATGTTTTTTACAATTGGCCTGCAAATAAATAATTGTTTCATTCTGGGTTTTTTTTATTCATAGAGATTTGCTTTTGAAAAATAATGGTCTTATTAATCGGATACAAATTCATTTGACAAGAAAAAAATACAAATCCATTTTCGGATCATAAACTTCAGGAATAGCGTAAAAATGTGTAAGAATCATATCTTATTATTATATGTATTATTTTACATACCTGCGCTTTGCGGACCTTCAAGAATGGCATAAACAGTGTAAAATAACAAACAATTTTATATTTAACTCACCTCCGCTTCATAAAATGTAAATTGGTTGTGAACAATTAAGTAGCATGAACCTTGATATTGCAGCCATCCATCTTGGCACCGAGCTTTACAAGTTTCACCTCCCGTACCTTTGGGAAGAAAAAAAAGTTAAAATTTACTTTGTATATAATAGATAGGATCATTAATATTTTAAACATATCAAATATTATAAGAATTTTACAAGACGTGAATGTAAAGGCTACATCAAACGTTCAATACAGACATGACACCTGATGATTTCAATATTGTGCTAAATCTTAAGTATAGACTATTACCAGTAACTGTTGTAGGTTGTAGGTTTTCGGCATGAAAGGTTTTGTTAATAATTTAATAATTTTGTCATTTTCGGGACATTGACTATAAAATGTTAGTAACTAAAATGGTGAATTAATTAAGTTACTTCAGATAAATATTTCTGACAACTCATTATCTTCATGAACATCTTAAAAAAGTAAATAAGAACCAATAATTGAACTAAGACATGCCTGATTAATTTAAAAACACTACGGGGAAAGCTATTTAAATCGGATAATTATGATTCAATCTTATTTTCAAAACAAGTTAAGTAACGAAACCCAAGGAACTCTGCAATAGACAAGTACAAAAAGCTGTAATTTCTGACGAAATTTTTATACTTGCTATTTAGTTACTATTCATTTGTCAAACATGGAATGTTTAATGTACATTTATTATAACTGTAAACACCAATTAAAATATTTCCTTACATACACACTTATATAATGCAAAAGGTCAATTACTCTGAATAGAGTTTTAAATAAAGTAATATTTTGACTATACAGTTATTAAGCAGAATTACAGAATAAACAAGGATAATAGCTTCGAAAAAAGTAAAGACTGCTTTATCAACGTACAGTAGAATTGTATCAAATTACATATTAATTAACGAAACTCTTTATATACATTAATATTAGATACAGTGTCAGTTAAGAAAACCAGACTGCAGTCGGTTGGATTGCCTGAGGACCCGTTTTCTAAAAGTTCTATTCAAGTTCATGCATAAAGAGTAATTACATATCACAAACACCTCCCATCTGTGTATTCAAATTACCCGAAATGTGTGTAGCTCTTTTTGCGTATTAAATGAAAATAGTTTGACAACTTTACTTCTTTACAAACATATAAACATCCTGTTCAATTTGATTCAAACCAGTTCATTTGCATCCCGGGATATTATAAATCCGTGATGCGGTTCATAATAACAAAATAATAGGTTATTTCTTCTCAATGAAATAAGTTAGGGCACATAAAGAAATTCCTTTTAACTTTCAAATAAAAGCATTCATTTATCAAGTATTTTTAACATCGGGATAAGGATCTTGGTATAAAGCATTAAAAGAGGTTAATAAATTAAAAAGTGTAAAAACTGTCACATTCTGTACCTGAATTTGTAATTGAATACTGCGAATTGAGCTATGGAAACACCAAATCTGTGTAAAGCTTTTGCCGAAAAGGGTAGCGGACCAATATATTTTTTTTAATTTAACAAAGAAATGAATTAGGGCCTACGGCAGTTGTGATATAATACTTTATGCAGCATTATACATATTTTCAGTATTTTAAAATGTTCCGATCATGCTTGAGCATGAAGACCTTTCAACCATTTGAAAGTAACGTGTGTGTCGTCGATAATAAAGTAAAATAACGCATTTCAACTCATTGGTTTTATATTATATCATAGACATTTGCCAAAATACTTAAAGCAGCCAGCTTTAAGATTCATGCCTGATCATGAACATTTTGAAATTGTATTAAAAAGTAAAATACAAAAAAATGTATTGTGAAATGAACAAATAGCGTAATTTACACATTTAAGGGCACTTAACATCCACGTAAAAGATGTCATAATTAAATAATCGCCTTTCCTGCGTAAGTCACACAATAGAACTATAGTGATAGATACTGCAAAATCAGTCATTAATCGAACACAACATGTAAAATTGTTACTTAAGACTTGCATCCTTTTACTGAACTATTCTTAAAATTACAGTACTCTTTCTCAAGTTTGATGTTTTGGAAATATTTTGCTCCTGCATTTTACAGTAGAGAAAAATGATAAAATATTATTTTGTTACGTTGTATTAGGCAACAAGCGTTCATAATGGTTCATGAAAAAGGCATTTCATTGCAAGTTGTGTCAGTCATATTGTATATTTTATTGAATATCACATGAGCATATTTGGCATACGAAAATAAAACAAATCAATTTAGAAATACGTGCTTTATTGTGTTTATGATTTTCAGAGGAACACAAAAGTCTCACGAATTTTGATCTTAAAAGGAAACACATTCCTGTAAATAATTTAAATGTGATCTAAAACATTATGTCTCAACTATATTCACAGGTCATTTATTTCAATTTGATGTAATTGTAATATTGAAAACAGGTGCATTCTCATACTGTGCTGTAGTTCTCGTTTCGGTCCTAGGATTGCACAATTTTTCATTATATTATAGCGTTATTTTCACATTCCTGCGTTACTGCATATACACTTACGTAAACACGATGTACACAATTATTTAAAACTTCCTTTCAAAAATAATAATAATATCAAGTTAAGATGTTTGATTGCCTTAAAGAAAGTAATATGTACCTCCTTTCACTATTTCCAGCAGTTGATCTAGTTTGATTAATATTTTCTGCTCATCGGACACCCCGGTTATCTCTGCCACCGCAATGCAGTAAATACAGCAAAACGCAAGAGCGACTTCTAACAACCACCTCATGTTTAATACGTTGAACGGATAAAGTCGTCGTCTGTCGTAAAATCCTTCTATCGCTTGTTATAAGGTGGTGAGCATAAATACTATCAAATGGCACGTGATGATTCATTTCCTTTAAAATGAAACGCCCAAATGCTAGTATTTATCTTATGATTGGTTCTTTAGTTTTGTGGATTACACGAGGCGGGGCTTAACTAATTATTTAATGTGTTATATAACTGATATTAGATATTTTCTGTAAAGCTCAGTACATGAAGTATTTTTCCAATTTGATCCTTGTTTGGTTGAATAAATTCAAGATGTAAGATGGTAATCCTTAATACTACCTCCTTTGATCAGCAATATCTCGAATGATCAGAAACCCATCCTTTTTTGTTTATTTCGATTATGATGCGTTTGTACGAGTTAAGCTGATCAGAATGGGATAAACATGGCTTAAAAGCATGCTATCTGAAGTCTGTTGACAATTTATTGTAAGGATATTAATAGGGATTAGTGATTATACTTTTAAGTTTCTTGTGCAGAAAGATCTGCAAGAATAGCTATGTATTGACATGACAGATGTGTTTCTTTGTCAGTGAATTTATCTGTGTTTTTAAGTGCTTTCTTGAGTTGGAATTGCAATATAAATATTTATTACCCTTCCAGATTTTTTCCTCGTTTTTGATTGGATATTGATCCGCCGAACGAAATTGATATAACCGAGCCAGGCGGGTAATATACACACTTAATTTCCCCGTTGGGTACCCTACCTACCCTGTAAGATAATTATGGAACAAACACAACAAAAGAAACGTTTTGCTACTCTTTCTGAAAATGATATAGAAAACAAAAAGCTTAAAGTAATAGCAAAGAATACAACACAATGTAACAAACTGGCAGCAAATACCTTTAAAGAATACTTGAAAGAAAAAAACATGAATGAAAATTTTGAATTATTATCAGCAGAAGAACTTGATGAAATGTTACAACATTTTTATCTAGAGGCACGCACAAAAGATGGAGAACTGTATAAGAAGAAATCATTAGAAAGTTTACGTTACGGTATGAACAGATACCTTAAATTACCACCACACAGTAAACCTTTTGACATAATAAGTAGCCCTGAATTCGCAGTTGCTAATGAAGTGTACAAGGCAGCACAATGTGAAATAAAAAGATCTGGAAAAGCATCTGTCGACTATTATCCTAAAATTGAAGACAGTGATCTCGTTAACTTGTATCATAGTTTCTACCTGTCTCCGAATACTCCGACGGGTCTACTGAATCGGGTTCAAATGAACATCCATCTCTACTTTTGCAGAAGAGCAAATGAAAACATGTATTCAATGACAAAAGATACATTCAAAATAAAAACGTATCCCAACGGGAAAAAGTATATCTGCAAGGATCTGGATGAATTAACAAAAAATCATAGAGATGACAATGAGCTCATCTCTGGCCATATGCCAGAAGACACTGACTGTGGTGATCTCTGCCCTGTTAGGTAGATACATTTATATGATAATATTCTGTTTGAGACTATACAGTTATTTTGAATAATAAGTTCAATTACATTTACAGTTCAAGTAAACATTGTATATTAAAGCTGCACGCCTCCAGATAAGCCAAAACATTTCAAGAAAATCAATATTTAGAAAAAATACGTTATAGATCTACTAAAATTTAAAGGAAGGTGAAAACATTCAAGATCCAAATAATATTTACATGCTATATTCTGTTTAAAACTTAATTTGCAGTATTTTATCATCATATTTGATTTATACAGCGTTACTAACGCAATAAAGGTTGTTTTTGCACTTTTTGGTAATTTCCTTGGATTGTAAGTACCGATTGCAATATGTAAATTGCTTTTTTTGTTCACCTCACAATATTTTACTTTCAAATACAATTCCAAAATTTTTATGAAAATTAACATGAATCTGGAGGCGTGTTGCTTTAAAATTTAACTTAAAAGAGTTTTTGGTTCCTGGTCCCCCTTCATGCAATGAGAAAAGATATCTATAAATCATTTTCATGGCATGAAGTATTATCTGCTTAATTGCAGGGGTATCATTGGATGCCATCCAACTCATTGTCGCCAGGTTTAATCTAAGATGTCTATAACTAAGCAACACTACTTAACCTACCAAATAAAAATAACCATAGCCAAAGCAAACATTTGTATATTAAAGACTAGTGTATATTCATCATCATGCTTAAATTTTGTTTCCTTTCAATATTTCTTTTTTTTCCCAAACAGAGTATATGAAAAGTACATATTGAAACTAAACCCTGGCACAAACCGTCTGTGGCAATATCCAAGAGAATGCTACCTAACGGACGATGATGTATGGTTCCAGAACAAGCCGATAGGAAAAGACATACTCCAGAAATTCATGACAAAACTCAGTAAAAGTGTCCCTCTATCAAAGGTATAATGCCTTTTGCCGTAAACCATACTTAATATATGAATAATTTAGTTTTCCAAAAAACACTATCATATGTTGAACTCTAGTCCTATATGAATTATATCTAAAATTTTTAATAATTTTCTAAAAACAAATACTGAAAATAAGTTTAATTTATTGAAATATTAAAAATAATGGATAATCTAAAATTTCAACTAAAAAATTTAATAAGTAACTTTTGCATACTTCCATGTATTAAGAAATCTTGAAAGTTTTGCCACAATCCTAAATTCGAAATACAAATTAATAAAGCCAAAATTTGAAATTTATAGAAAATACATGGTTGATGTCGGGATGGAGAAGGTTTATCCGGTGAGCGAGAAAGTGTATCTTGGCGAGCTTTAGCGAGCCAAGATTCACTTTCGCAGCGAACCAGATAAACCTTCTCCATCCCGACATCAACCATGTATTTGATTTATCCTGCTTTTTATCATGTTTTTAGAATAATTAAATGGTTTAATTCTTCTTTTTCCCCGATAAAATAGCATCTATATGCAGCTTTGTTTTGCTGCTAAATATGTGACGTCATCATATGACGTAATGACTGGAGATATATAAGTTTATCCGGCAAGGCTTTATCCAGCTGATGATATAGACAGTAGCAGGATAAAAAAATCATAATTAATAATGGCTAAAAATTTATATTTAATGAGAAATATTCCACCACAATTAATTTTTAACAAAAAAACTTGAATAATATTCAGATTTTTCAAAAATAAACCAAGATGTATAATATATTTCGGGAAAACCTTTATATGAAAAGAAAATGGATCAAACAGAACAGTAGCTTTAGATAAGCCTAACAAATAATGTCCCTTATAAGTTATATAAATTTTCTTTCTCTGAGGAAAATTTCAGTAACAGTAGGTAGAAAAAATATGAGTTTAGGAACTTCAATTTAATCACAGTGATTGTTCTCACTTTATTGGAAAGAGACCTTAGCCTCTTGATTTTGGGAAAAATTATTGCTAAAAATGCTGATTTGGGAAGTAAAAATGCATGTTTCAGTTCAAATTTTTGGGAAAACTGCATGATTTTAAAGAAAATTTCAATTGGGAAGAGGCCTTTTATCGGAGTATGTTATATTAAGAGGAATTTCATTGAATCAGTACACATTTTTGTCACTTTTCAGGTTTACACTAATCACAGTGTACGTGTTACTGGTGCATCACTTCTGGGAAAATACAGCTTTTCGCCAGCACAAATTATGTCCGTAACCGGGCATAAATCTTTGTCAGCCCTTTCAGTGTACCAAAGGGTAACTGATGAAGAGAAGATGATGATGGGAGCAGCAATCGGTTCTATTACAAAAGAAAAGACAAAAAGTCTCCCTTATGGTCAGGCTGAAATAGAAGGAACAGCAACATATGCCCTTGAAATGGCACCACGCCCTTCATCATCTGCTTTGTTGCCAATACATTCAAATGTTTTACCAGGGCCCAGTATAAATGAAAGCATATCTCAAGCTGAACTTGCTGATCTCAATTTGAATGAACTGTTCTGTGACTTTGAGTCTGATAATCACGCAATTACAAATACAATGAACTCCTAGACAAATCTCAGTGTCCGCAAGGCCCAAGTCTATATGAACTATACCTTCAACATAACAATAAATAACAATAAGTAAAACCAGCACCACATCCTTGGTTCTGACTTCTGGCAACTTTTCTGTTTTTCAGTTTTGAAATACTTACTGTAGACCTAGATCTACTCACAATTTCAAAAAAAAAACAACAAAAAAAACAGATACATTATAAATCTAATTATTCTTATTAATTCAAGCTTGAAGGTGAAAAAAGGGTTTTCTTTCAAGATAATAAAATCTTGTTTGAAATTGTGCTAAACTACAAACACATTTAGAAATCATAATGATATTTTAAATTATTATTGGATTTTAATGTACTGTACACTAACATCGAGTAAACATACACACAGTAACAATAACGATATTTGATATTAAAGGCGTGGCTTATTATATCTTGTAGACTTGCTTACTACATCCTCCTCTATCTTTAATTTAGAACTCATCAATAAAATCAATAAATTTAAATTATCAAAAATTTAAATTTAAATGTGCAAACATATTGTAATAAGAAATATTTTTTTCGGTATGAAATAAGCTATTATACAACAAGTCTATTGTTATAAACTCTTCTCCTTTTTCAGCAGAGTTCATTAACAATGCGATTTACTCTAATCAGTGTACTGGGCATCTGCTTCAACGAAGTAATGATAAATATAATGTTATTGTTAATTGTCATATCTTTTCTATTTTTCGTAATGTCACAAAATATCAAGCAAATTACATTATTATCACAACATTTGTTCAAACAACTAGCATTGTTATCAAAAGAATGATTTGTTTTTCTGTAACCAATTATAAGGTAATATAATAAAAACCAAAAGTATTAATTTCACGAATAACAGAGTGTTCTCACACACGTTATCATTTTTTCCTAAGATTAATAAATCCAGCAAGCGGATATAAATGATACACTGCTATGACAGTCAGGGGTGTAACTTAAACATGTTATCATTTTTATAACCCATAGCCGTTATAAAATTTTATCTGTTTACTAACAGGATCAACTTTGTAAATGTTTATTTTATTCGT